GGTGTCACAAAAATTTGAGGACCAGTATCTTTCAAGTCTGTTCACTGTCAAAGCATTAGAGGTAGATTTTGTATCTTTGGCATTCTGTGGGTTAAGTCTTCAAAATTTTGTGCCTTAGTACTAATGATGAAAAGAAACGAATAAGCAAAAGAAAATGTCAGTGCATCTTAAGAGGACCAAAGACCCTAGGAAAGAACAAGAAACATGTATGGGCAGGTTCCATCAAGTACAGCAGAAATGCTACAGAAGTTAGACGGTGAATCAACAACAAAATATAATGAGGATATTTTAGAGGTTATAATTAAAGTCCTAAATTATTTTCTGGAGTAAAAAAGTGATTTCTTTTACTACTAAGAAAGAAAAATAAAAGGGATTTAAAGATCAAATTGACAAAACAAATATAAAAATAACAAGAGTTTAGGAGAAAAAGAGTTATATTATTTAAAGGAAAACTTGAATGAGCTGGATTACTGAGTACTCCCTATATCTGAGGAAGTAAAACAGTGAAATCTACCTAGCTAAATCATGAAAAAAAAAAATGGCCCACACAGTGCCTGAATTTCTAATCAGTGGCATCTTATCTATTAAGAAAAGAGGATCTCAGCTGAAAAAGAAGATGGTATCTGTATTAGTTAGCTCAAGATGCCATAATGAAATGCTGCAGGCTGGGTGGATTCAACAACAGACATTTATTTCTCACAGTTCTGGAGGTTTATGTAAGAGCAGGGGCGAGGCTCTACTGAGGGCTTTTCCCAGCTTGCAGACAGTTGCTTCTCTGCGTGCTCACAAGCCCTTTGAAGTTGGGGGTGGGAGAGGTCTTTCTCTTCTAAATCCACCAACCCTTCTTATCAGCATTAGAAAATACTGCCTACATAACCTACTTCACATAAATAAGACCTGCAATGCCCTTCACTATACCTTGTAGCAATGCAGAAGGGATCTGGTTCTATTATAGAACAATCATGGGTAGGTGTCCCGTGCAGTGAAACTCCTGCTTCACCTTTACAATTAATGCCACCATTTCTGGATGCAGGGTCCATTTCTTGTTTCCCAGAATGAGCCGACCCATTACAAATGCCACCCAGGATGCTATGATATGGACATAATAAAATATCTGCAAATGATTCTTTTTTATCAGTCAAACCCCAATAAAATGTACCAAGGTGAGTCATGTGTGAAAACATCATACAGCCAAGCATGGTGGCTCATGCCTGTAATCCCAGCACTCCGGAGGCTGAGGCAGGAAGATCACTGTGAATTTGAGACCAGACTAGGCTACACAGTGAGTTCCAGGTCAGTCTCAACTACATAGTGAGACCCCCGTCTCAAACAAACAAACAAAAAACCTCATACATAGTAATTTCTTGAATTATTCCTAAGAGTGCAACCTACTTCATATCTTCCTCATGAAAAATATCAGGAAGGGATAAATTGAAAGCATGTCTATAAAATACACTCACATTAAAAATGCACTTAATAAATGTAGTTTGTCCAAATAATAAATACATAACCTAAAAATCGAAATTATTTTGAGTTTACACTGTACTTATGCTTTGTGAAATATACCCAGCAAGCAAGGAGTGTTGGAGCAAAGTAACAGTTCTGGAATCATATAGTAGACAAAGAGTGTTAATTTTTGAAATGTGCCTTTGGTATCTGAAAATGAAATATAATAGAACTCTTACTACAACTCTACTTGCTAACATTAAAAGGCACCAGGACAGTAAGCGTTGACTGAACTGTGCCCTCCTCCATGCAGTACTGATGCCTTAGCCCCCTAACAGGATGGTTTTGGAAAAGGGACTTTAGGCTGGGTAGATAAAAGGTAATAGGTGGGGCCCTCACAATGGGATTCTAGAAGGACACAACAGAGAACTTGCCATCTCGGTCTTGTACCACAGGCCTGAAGAAAGGAAGGGGAACATATATGGAGCACAGTAGGAATACATATGGACTATGTCTGGTCGGGAACGCAGTCCTAACCAGAACCTGCCAGAACCCCACAGTGGGACCACAATTTAATCCAGTACCGTAACATCAGTGCTTCCTAACTAGGGACAGCGTTGTCCCCAGGGAGCACTGACAGGGACTGCAGGGTATGAGCAGCACCTGGTAAACAGTTCCAGGGCTGCTGCTCAACACCCGCTGTGCACAGCACAGCCAGCTATTGTGAGTGTCGCCAGTGCTGCTCCTGAGAAATCCTGCCCTGAAAATGAAGGAACAACTGCAAAAGCTGCACTTGAAATTCTGTTTTGGCCTGATGCCATCCTATCGCTAATTAATATTTGACAAATGAAGTTATCAAGGTGAGGCTAAATAAACAACATCAAAAATTATTAAAAAATAAAACTTTCTTAATCGTTGAATATAAAGCATTTGTTGGTAAAACTACATCTAAGTCTGTTGTCCTGTGCACATCTAAATACATTTTCTTATCATAACAGCAGCAGCTGAGAAATGAGAAACTCACAAGTTAGGGAAACGACACTAGTTCTTTTCAGTTGCTTGCAGATTTTCATTTGCTAAGTTAATTTTTTATTTTCATTGGTTCATGTTTGCAGCACATAATGATGACCCTCCTCGTGGAGAACTGGTACACACAAACAACACATCATTCCCTTTCCCTTCCCCTCTCTCCACTTCTTGGTCTCCTACCTCTTTATTTCCTATTACATATCTTTCATTTTTCTCTTTATTTATATTTTGGATTTCGCCTATAAGGAAAACCATGCAATATTATTTCATTTAAAATTATGGTCTCGAGGTGCGCCCATTTTCCTTCAAATGGCTCCACATGTTCCTTCTCCGACAGTGTAGGACTCCACTCGGTGTACCACAGATTGTAATCCTGATGTAGCTATTACGAATTGTCCTGCTATAAATATTGGTATGCTATTCTAAACGATCACAGATTACAAATATATATTATAATAAGTCACAGCTAAACAAACTTCTTTAGTTACTTAAAATGTTCAATTTTAGGTAAAGTATGACTATAAAGTTTAATCACCATCACGACACAAGAGACCACAAATTCCTTCTTGTCAGGATCAGAAGTATTCAGGACCTGCATTTTCCATGAATCCAAGTGGTTTGCATTTTCCTATGTGATGGCAACCTTTACAAGCACTCTAAGTCAAGTTGTAATACTGTCTTCTTAATTTTAATCGTTTTCTTCTCTCTTAAGTTCATAAATCATAACTTATACTCTTTCCACCTTAATGGCAGTCTTCTACCCAACAAAGTAAACTGTAGTTTTGAAAGTTAACATTCTTTCCTTGTTAAAACAGTACAGCTGATTACCCAAACAACATAGCACAGAAATTAAAATGGTACCAGGTTATTTGGGAAATTTTAGAGGCTAATGCACCAATTTGGGTAATTCAAGTTTTTTAAAAAAGGAACAAAATTAAAAAAAAAAATTCTCATGCCTCACATTACTTTATCACCAATATAAGACATGTTTTACAGGGAGGGGCACTGGATTACTTAAATTACAGCTATGAAACATTTTCTCCAGAGCAGTAATTTCCTCTCATCTCATTTAACAAGTGAAAAGTGTGATTTCTTATACATGTTCTGTTTTAAATCTGATCCCAACTACCACTGAGAGGAAAAATGAATACTTCTTTCTGAGACAATTATCAAAATAAGCACTCTCTGGCAAAGTGAATGAGTAGATACTCTGCTTTGTTAAAACTAATAATTCCATTCTTGAATAAATATCAATAAATATTTAGCCTTAAAATAGCCTGAAAAACCCAAAGTCATATCTGCATGCCCCCTGAACAAACCTGCATTACATAATATATACCAAGAGGGCTACATAAATATAAACGTTTTTATTATGTAACATATAAAATTTGAATTACAAATATCACATATTTATAAAAGGTTATTTTGAGTAAAGTAAGACATGTTCTTTCTTGTCTTTAATATTATTGTTACTTTAATTACTCATTTACAGGTCTTTTACCACCACGATAATATGCTCATGGGACAAATAGAATCAAGCAATCATACAAAAGTCTACAAAATGGTCAAGGTGAATAAAAACATTGGCAGTCATCAATAACACTGCCCTACATTTGTGTAATATTTATTGATGTCTTGGGTTCTCAGAAACGTGGTACTCTATAAAGTATGTTTCATTATTTACTCATATCTAATAATATCATTCTTAATGTCAGACCTGAAATAATTATAAAGAATATTTTTTACTAGAATTTGAGTTTTGATCATGATAATGACTCAGACTATCTTTTATTTTATAGTATTTGCTTAATTAGTAAGAATTCGTCACGTATTTTTAAAAATTTATTCTTTAAAATTTTATGTTACAGTATTATGCTTTTGCATGTATATCCAGAGTATACATATCTTATTGTAAACTACATTCTTACACATTTATACAGTGAAAACACAGAAAATAATACCGCTGTGCTTCCTGTTACCCACCAAATATGTTTTCACATTAGAAAGATATACTTTCTTACAATCTTTATGATGGCATATAAAATAACCACATCCAAAAATATGAATGATATACATTCTATAATTTATAAGTTTTTCTATAATTTGAGAATTATACAGCTATTAAAAACTGCATTTTGATCCCTTTATGAAAATAAAAAGAAAAATCCATTTTTTATGGAAGATTATCAAGTCCTTTGCTTTATAATATACGATTCTGCCTCTAGGCATAGCAGTACATAGACAATTCAGGCATTTTCTACAATATAACATAAACATTACATTTAGGATTCTTGATCAAAATAAATCTGTTTGTAGAATTATATAATTTTTACTCAGTAAAGCATTCCCTCTACTCTCCAGAATGCCAAAGTTAAAATTTTACATTACTGTAGGATTATCAAAATGATAATCATATTTAATCTTTAACAACATTTATAATAATAATATCAATGTTGCCAGGTAAGGATTTGTAGAAAAAAATCTGCAAAGAAACTACATTCTGTGGGTCAAATATTGTCACTTACCAGCTCTTCCTGCAGTTGGGAAATGAGTTCGTCCCTCTCTTTGAGTTGTAGCTTCAGCAGAGAACATTCATCTTTCATTATATCCTGCAAAAACATTGAAGAGACAGTAGACTGAGCTTAGCCCTGTCACTCTATTCTTTATAATAAAGTCAGCTTCACAGAGTGGGAGGTTACTGCATCTGACTAACAAAACTCAACTTTCTTCAACACTATGACATTTTTCATACTATATTCTAAGCTGCCAAAAAATAATCTAATTAATTCAAAATGTAATTCTATATCCATAATTTTTGTCTATGTTGTTTTTAAAAACGTGTTGATATTCATTTGTCCATTGTGTTGCCTAAGAACAACAAGCAAGGTTCTTTCCTCTCATTTTTATGCATACATAATCAATGGAATAGAAGAGACATTTTATATAACGTTTCTTCCCACTATCATTAAATATGAATTCTCAAACCAATGGCGTTGGTATAGTCTAATCACCAATGATGGCCCCATGCCATTCGATTCTCTCACTAGGAATCTTAGGGCATTTAATCTTCTCACCTTGTTGGGCGATCTCAGCTATGGCCTCGATGTCCAGAACACATCAACTCCGTGCTCTTTAGTACTTTACGCTGGAAACTCTCAGACACAACTACTTAACCAAGAATTTCCTGTCTTCTAAGCTGCAGCTCATAAAAGCAAGTAGTCCCTGATCAACACTCAGCATTTTTCTACAGACCAGTGGACTCAACATTCAGCTCACCATCTTCTTCCCTCACCTGAAGAGTTCATCTCTGCTTATTTCCTCTATAATCTGTCTTAGAAAATAATAACCAGGAAGTTTCCAATACTACCCAGGCTGAAGAAAATCTCTTTAACTTCTATCACATTTGTAGTTTTTGGACTTGATACTTCTATTTCCTCTTTGATTTTCTTCAATAACTCAATGTTTCTTATTCAAATATCTGCAATAATTTCTAAATTGGTTTTCACTATTTCTACCTCTATTAACACTGTATCATCCAGAGAGATCTTTCTAAATTGAAATTAATTCAGATCCTTCCTATTTTAACAAGTAATCACTTCTTCAGGACCAAAAAGAGCTGATATTCCTTATGATAGCATATTGTACCCTTTAGTATCTGTTACTTACACATTTTAGAAGGTGCAAAGTTTTATGTCTCCGGTTTCAAACATGTACATCTCTGGGTTTCACTGCTTCCTACTCATTATGTCCTTTTATCTCTCACAAAGTCTTATGCTCTGGGATGAATCTCAAGAATCTCCCCTTATCCAACCAGGAAGGTTTCTTTTACTGGCTGAGTTGTAGTCCTTTGGGTAGGGAGAAGCTACATAGCATCGGAACCGTACATTATCTCACACAAAACTTCTTGCACTGCTTGCTTATACCCCGATGTCATTAGACTACTCTGCCCCCTCCTCACTCGTGTACACAGATTGTATTTCATTTTTATACCATTAGTATCAGACATCATTGACAAATTCATGTTTCCTTTCCATAAAATTGCCAAATCAAACTGTGAATCTTAGAATTGCCACAGTCTTCCTCTGCCAACAAGAGAAAGCATCTAAAGAATCAGAGAATAGAGAATACTTGTCTGTTCTCACTCTCATGCTGTTATCCATCTCTACAGTGAACGATCCACCAATATCAGCTCTAATGTATTAATACCTCTTTTGCTTATCACCAGCTCACTGGGAGATGTTAATACCTGCTTGTTCTTTATCTTTTAGTAGTCTTATTTCTTCCCTAAACCATGACTTCACAGAAAGAGTTAATATCCAGTATTTTTAAAGCTTATGCTTATAGATTCTAGGTATTATTCATGATAGCAAAAGGTTTAACCTTTTCTATATAACAAAGGAAAGATTAGCAAATTTAGGAGGCAGGTAAGAAAATAATAGTGTTTCTCTGGATCAGGGAGATCTAGGATAAAATTCCTGATATCACAAGTAACTGGCCATGTAGCCCTGCACTAATCACTTAACTTCTTTGAGCCCATGAACATTTCTGGGGAGGCTGATGATGACAGGAGACTAGAAACTACATGACAAAACAACTATTGTAGCCTTTTAGTCCTAGATATTTTTATGTTTCACTTAAGAAAAGTTAATTCCCTTTGTAAAACAAAAGGTTTTCGTAGCTTGGTTCTCCATGAATTGGTGTTAAGGGTGCAAGAAATTTTGTAGAAGGGGAAAAAAGAGAAACATGGAAATAAAAAAGGAGGACCGAGATTAGCTGATGGACAGTATGACTTTGTTCATACGGACAAATTCTCTGCTACGCAGCTACACAAGGCTCACTGAACAGAGCCAGGAGTGTCTGTTGGATGAACCACAGTCTGAAGGGGAATTACGAGGGTGCCTAAGGAAGAGCTGGCCTGTAGCCTCCTCTACTCTAACTCAGTCACCCAGGGGAGACTGTGCACATCAGCTGCAGGGCCAAGGCAGATCCTAAAGGAGAAGCCAGCAAGAAATAACCAGCTCTGGGCGGTGCATCCGTTACTGAAGTTGCATCTTGGAGTCGGTCTGTATCCACTGCAACTGTTTTTCTTTAACTGATTATCAACAGTATTTAAATGAATTAAATAGTATTTGGTTGGATGCTAAGTAATTTCAAATGGAAGATGTGTTAATGTTGTAGTTTCTGGGAATTTTAAAAGTAACTTAGTTTCTTAAAAATATGCTCACTTTAAAATTTTCACATTCTACTCCTGGGGAAATATTTCAAGAGTTTCATAATTTCATAGCTTTACATTAGGCCTTTACATTTATTTACAGAACCGCACACACTAAATAACATTTGCCATCAAAAGACAATTTAGCAAAGCCTGGGTACAAATGACTTTGCAAGTCAAATTAGCTATGTAGCAGCACTTTTCTTTCATTTTTATATATACATGTACCAACATTTAAATTAGGACCTAACACAGAAGATACAAGCCTTTGAACAACACTTTGAGATGAAAATTGATAGCAATATTCTTACTGTATCTGCAAACCTTTGTATTTCAGTTGGCAAGATGATTTATGGACTCTGAAATTGTATAGATGTTTAGAATTGAACGAACTTTAATAATCTTCAATTTCAAAGTAAGATTATTGCATTGACCTGTAGGCTAATGTAACCAATTTAACTTGTCATTTTTAAAATGCACATTATTCATAGAAAAACATGTTAATAACGGTGATACCTGGCTTCTCATTCAAGTATAATTAATTATTAGGACTACAATTCAGTTCTATTACTCCTTTGGCAATAATTATGCACAAATATTGAAGCTGGGGTGGTAGATTGTTTCTGTTGAAAGCTCGAGCTTAGTGCCTCTCTCCTGGGTCCCGCAGTCTCACTAACTTGCAGGTCTAACAGCAGGTGATGGAAGTAGCTCCATGACCCTCAGGATTCAGCTACCAAAGCTGTTTCAGCTTCTGCAGTGGTCTCTTTGAATGGATCCTCTCGGGTCATCCCTTTGCAGAGAAGCCGGCGAACATGCTAAGAGGGGCAGAGCACGCAGAGTTTCCAGTGACCGCTCCCAAAGAACACCGGCATCAAGTACCAGCCGTGGGGAGGAACCGTCACAGAAATCCAGCCCTGGAGAATCTTCAGTGAAGTGGCCGCAGCCCCAGCCAGCACCTCAGTTCACCTAAGAAACCCAAGACTACAATTCCCTGGTGCAATCATTTCAAAATTCTTAACTTACAAAATTATAAATAAAATAAGTACTAGTTTTGAGCAACTACGTCTTGGAATTATTTGTTATAGAAATCACCAGAGCATAATAGTCAAACCCCGACTTATAATTGGATTTAATATAAATTGTGACATATGGAAAAAAAAGTGTATTGCTAATTTTAAAACAAACGTGATTTAATTTTTCATTTTGTGCTTTAAGCTTGTTACATTCTTGAATGATCATGAAATACTGCATCTCAAGAAAATCAGGACTATGTATCTTTGTTCCACATAACTTATGAGGAAATTTGAATATGGATTCATAAGTCACTTTATTCAAGTATTATTATAGAAATTTGGAGAGTTAGAGCCAGATACCCAGAAATTTTGGTAATTTGTTTGAAATTCTGTTTTCTAATGCTGTTCCCATGGCTTTTATAATATACTTTTGCCTGTAATTAGAATCACCTAATTGTTTCAAACTATAATGTGAACAGAAATGAACTGTCAAAAAGAAGTAACATGAAATATACTAATTACTTTGAAATTCAAGTAAAGATTCAAACAATAATTTTACTTTTCACATACTTCTATACTAATTGCAAATGTAAATTTGTGAACCTATCTCTTGACTGTTACTGAGAAAATCATTTCAAATTTAGTAGTAGGTCTTCATGATTCTATTCTAGGCTTCTGGTGTTCTCTCCCAGGGATTGATGGTATGAATTATAAGCTGTTTCCTCATTCTTTTAAAACAAAGGCAAAATATTAAAAATGAAGGAAATACAATGGTCAGAGGCAACAAGTACAGAATTTTATGGACAATTAAAAGAGAGAAGAAAACAAGAATATGGCAGAGGACACCAGGATGGGGATTATTATATAATAATTAATAACAATTGATAATATATGTTGTAGTCCCCTCTAAATAACTGACCTCATTCTATTTCTTATGTTGACTTAGCTTTAAAGTAACATGTTGTCTGCAACACCTGAGTGGTGAGTGAAATAAAAGCAGTGAAGACAAATAATCATTCATGCTTTGCAGTTGTTGAAAACTAGGTCAATAAAAATACCATTTAAATCCTTCATTACAGCATTTTGTTTAAAACCTTGAAAAGTATTTCATTATCCATTTCAGTGTTAATAACTGCAGTGAGATGATATAAAATTTTCCTTCTATACATTTACTTGAAAAGTTATAGATTTGTCTTTGCATACTCATTGAAAAGAACATTGATTCATTGTAAGTGTTCTTTTTTCATTGAATATTGTGTTCACAAAACTGTAAAAGTAATAAGGCCTTATATTTTATGATGTGCTTAAAGATTATATTACAGATTGGGCATCTCTAATCGAAAATCTGAAATCTGAAGTGCTACATAACCCCAACCCTTCTGAT